TATTGTTTCTCATTTTGCACTGAGGTTATAAAATCTGATTAAAGGTAAAGAATTTAGAAATGATGGTACTCTTTGCAGTTCACACTATTAAATATTTAAAAACTTAATTTTCATGAACTGCAAATAATTTTGCTATGAGAAAATGAAATTATGTAAGGTATTTTAAAGAAAAAGTTGGGGAATATGTATCATCGAGTTACATCCCTTTTTAATTTTTTAAAAATTTGACACAGGGTCTTGCCAAGTTGCCCAGGCTAGCTCTGAACTTGTAATTATTCTGCCTCAGCTTCTCATTGATGGGATTAGACATGCACCAACACATTCAGCTGAAAATGTGTTTTAGTAACAAAAATAACCATAAATTTATTTTTTGATTTTTTTTTTTTTTTTTTTGCGGAACCAGGGATTGAACTCAGGCCCTTGCGCTTGCTAGGGAAGCACTTACTCTACTTAGCCATTTCCCCGGCCCCTTATTTTTGCTTTTAATAGAAGATTGAAACTGATAATTTTGGCCAAAGTGTGGAAACTAACAAATGAACATATATTTCAATTCTGCACTCAATTTTTCTTTTTACATGGAAATAAATTGAAACACCCAAGTTTAAGATTAATACTAGCCAAAATTATACCAAATGCCCTGGGGATGTTACCTATTATATTTATGCTTGAGGCCTCAAATCCCTACTCATCAGAATTCATTATATTTGTATATTTGAGCTTCTGTTTAAATCAAACATGAGGAATACAATTTTGATTTGTTTTGAATTTTCCTAAGAAAACATCAAATATAACTTCAAAAATAAGAAATTACTACCTTTTTTTTTTTTGACCCTGTCTACAAGCTGAGAAGTTTTTCAGGGTGGGAAAATATAAGCCTGTAATTTTAGCACTAAAATTAATTTTATTAATTTTTCCTATGACAAACATGAAAGCTCAGTTTTAATTCAGTCATTCCATTAAACACATATGGCAACTCTATAAAAGCTTCAAAGATAGTGAATATCTGGCATTTGATTAAACAGTATGTAATTCCTAAAAATAGCAGTTACTTGAGCAATGACCAAAAGATGTACTTTGTGAACTTTTCCCATGTTCATATAGGTTGAATATGGTAGCATGTGCCTGTAATCCCGGTATTCTGGGAGGCTAAAAGAAGAAGACATCAAATTTAAGCCCAGCCTAAGCAATTCAGCAATACCCTGCCTTAAAATAAAAAAAATATAAAAGGGACTGGGAAGTAGGTCCATGCAAAAGTACTGGGTTCAATCTATAGTACCACCTAGAAATAAAATTTTAAATTATAGAATAATCTATAACTGTAAGGGTTTAGACTTGATATATTTACTAAATAGTAACGCATCTTACCTCTTTACTGCCAGTACCACAAAAATTATTTAAAACAATAAATTTTTCTTGTGAGTGGTACAGGTGGAGTGATTTATGTAAGACTAAATTTCTATCACGAGGGCCTGGGGAGATGGCTCAGTAGAATAAGTGCTTCCCTGGCAAGTCCAAGGGCCTGAGTTCAATCCCCAGTTCTGCCAAAAAATAAATAAATAAATTTCTATCACAAATGAATTAAAAATAAATTTCCAGCTGTCTAGTGCATAACTGTATTTATCAAAAGCAAAAGAGATCTTATCATCACTTGCAATATCATCCATAATTGCCCTACTGATTAAAACATTTTTCTAGTACTTAGGGTTCATCCTATATTTATACTATTTATAATTCAACAACTGACAATATTTTCTAGAATACTCTTGATATTTCATTGCTAACTTGATAATATTTTCAAAAACTTCTCTTGATAATTTGTCCTACATGAGAAATAGTCACTTGTCTTTATAGCTTCAGATAGGCAAACTTTTAAGTCTCTTAAATTAAGAAGTAATTTATCTGGAGTAAGTATTTTGCAGGACTCTAACACAGACAGCAACAGTGAATTTTCTGTTTTATCTCCTGTTTGCCTATTTATAAAGTCAGTATTTTAAGATCTTTATTTTAGACTAAAAAGATGGATAATATAATGTTAACTGTTGACAATTCCCTAAAGATGTTTTAAAGCTCTAAAGTTAGTCCAACTCATATTACAGAAATACATGATTTAAGTATATGTATTTAAAATTATAACGTGAATTCAGTTCAAAAAAGTGAAAACTAAGCAGAGGCAAACATCTGCAATCCAAACTACTTGGGAGGCTGATGAGGTCAGCCTGGGGCACTTAGGGAGAAGCTACCTCAAAACAGAAAGGGACTGGGGATGCAGCTAAATGTGAAGGTCCTGTGTTCTACCTTCAGTACAGCAAAGAAGGAAGAAAAGGAAAGCTATGACTATTTCTCAGTCTTTCCTTTGCAACAAAAATATTAGAAGTGTAAACTGAACTGCAAAGTGAACATTTACTGAAATGCAAAGTTGAAGAATATTTACTCAGGACTGGGGAGATAGATAGCGCAATGGAATAAGTGCTTGCCTGGTAAATGCACCGTCCTGAGTTTGAACCCTGGTACCACAAAAATAAATAAATAAAAAATATTCACTCAATATGGAAAAATGAACCCAAAGCACTGTCATTATTTAATTCTGACAGCACTGAATATGACAATATACACTCCATAAATTAACAGTTTAAAAAAAAATCCCATCAGAACTAAGTCATTAAGAAAGGATGACATACCAAAATCATACAACGTCATTGAGTACTGTTACTAAGTAACCATCTTTCTGGATATTATTAATTGGAAATATTACCATCTAAGATTTACAAGAGAACCCCACATAAACTACATACATAGGGGCCAGGGAGATGGCTCAGTAGAATAAACACTTGCCTGGCAAGCACAAGGGCCTGAGTTCAATCCCCGGTCCCGCAAAAAACAAGAAACAAACAACAAATCAAACTACATACATAGAACACACAACAGAAAGCATTTTAACTATAACATATAGCAAGTGACCTAAGTTTGAAAGATGCTGGCAAACAGCCAAGAAAGATGATTTGCTTAGAAATATATAAAGGAGATTAAATGAGCTAAAGCATGTAATGTTATCTGTACTTATAAATCAGGAGGTAGATTATATCTACTTCTTTTTGAAAAGTGAATCAAATGCCAATTTACAGTAGAAATATAATATCAATAATATCAAGATTTCTTTTCCTAAGAGTTAAGTTGAAGAAAAGCTGAGCTGGCTTCCAAGGGACCAATTAAGGAACCCAACCCCGGGTTAGTAGGATTCTTTAGGGATTTGCAAATGTTTCCATTCTAACATTCCAGAGACAAAAATATAAAGGAAAAAAATTAGAAAAATAATTGACCTGTGGCATTTGGCTACTACTTTGCACACTGGCTCATTATTAACAGTTTTCAACATTTAACTGATCCCTCGCCCCCTCCAACCCTCACAGTTGAGTTCAATGGCTGATCTTCTATGCTTATAATATCAACCCTCTAACACACACAATCTAAAATATGAATGTCTGTGTTAAAGTAAGGAAAGCATCTGAAGTAGTTTTCATTTAAACAAGTCCATGTAGAAATATAATATCAATAAATCCATTTCATCTGGACTAGTTTTCATTTAAACAAGTCCATGCTTCAATACCTTTAGGAACAAAAACAGCTTCAGTTTTCTTTATAGAGATGAAAAATTAGCTTAGGGGACAGAAAGAGATTAATCTTTTTAGTAACTTACTTTAGGGTCTTCAAATACATTTAGGGAAATAAATATACTGGGCAATTAACATATTCCTAATTTATGAGTTCTTTCACAAATAAGATTAATTTCAACTAACTTGTTGGAATTATCCCATCAGAATTTATAAGCATCTCTCAAGTTAAATGAATCAAGAGAAAAATGATTCCTATTCTAAGAGGTGTGCATGTTTATGGTATATCTCTGCAAAGTTGTGGTTCAGATTCCTCGGCCTCAAGTCATTTATGGCGTTTTCCTTAGAATCTAATAAATTATTCATGGACACCCTCCTACCCCCAATTTCACAATACCAAAAATATCCTGTGCAATTGTTTTTGGCAGGTTTGCAAATAGCCAATCCCAGAGCATTATTTAGTTTTCCTTGCTGCTGATTGGCTGCTGCCCTTTAACCCACTCTGACCAATGCAACAGAATCCTAAATGTTTTGTTTGCCTTAAAGGCTTAATACTCCTAAGATGCTACCAAAATGCTCTGCATCTTCTAAGGCTCTATTCATACAGTATTTTATTAAATTACACAATGAGAAGACATAGCATATTCAGGGTTTAAATTATAAAATTATATGTTTACAGGCATTTTTCTGATCATATATGAAGTTGGTAGTTTTTCATAGTTCACGGGCAATCTAGGAATAACAGCCCTGTGAATTGGAATGGATGGAGAGGAGACATGGGGGTCTAATGATATATAAAAGTAAACAGAATGCTTTTGTTTTACTAGGTAAATATAAAGCTTCTCACAAAGAAGGCTCAAGTGTTATCTAGTGAAATGTAAGAAAATTACTTCAAGTGGAAAGGATACTATCTATTTATTTGGAGACAAGGTCTTGTTATGTAGTTCAGACTGGCCTTAAAAAGACAAACAGATCCTCCTACTTCACCCTCCAGAGTGCAGGGATTACAGGTGTCCACCACCACACCCAGTGATACTCTCAATTTATAAAACCTCTGAAATTAATAAACCTGAGCAATGATAATTAAAAACACCACAACTCATCTATAAATGCCTTTGAAGGAAAACGATTCAAAATTCTGATTCCTATACTTAAGAAATAGGGCCTGGCTATAAAATATTTCCTAAAATAGAAAACTTCCCTGAGGCAGTATTAAGTTTGCTCTAAACTGTATAAAGTTAACATTAAACCTCAATGTATAGGGGGACAAGAGAAATTAGTAAGTTACTATTTTAGAATGAGTAGAAAAAAAAATAAAAAATAAACTGAAACATGATACCAATGGTATCTTTTTATATAACAATGGTAGTGAGATTGATAGTTAATACTTACAAAATAAGCACTGCCAGTCTAAGTAAGAAGATTTTTTATTATGGTCTTCATTTTATCATGAAACCTAGAGAAAAGATGAGAGTGAAGACTTTTAAGCATTTGGTAACAGAAGTTAGACTACTTTCTCCCTGTGGTCAATAATCATTTATTTCTTATGCTTATATATCACAGAACAATTATAGATTATAAAGTTAGTAGCAGCATTTACATTATTTACAGTAGTTTTAAAATTTCTCTATTGCCTTCTGAAATTAAGTAAAAAAAAAAAAACGTAAGTATAATTAAAATGCCTACTTCAATGTCTAATGTGAAACATGCCTAACTTTGGGAGGACATCACAGAACTGCAGGTATCTTAAATTAAGACTGTAACCCAAGATTGACCTCTCACTATTTACTAAATACATATATATTCACAAACACAAAATCTGGAAGCCATGTATTGGAAAGCCAATTCCAAGAATTTCTTTATAGTGTAGAGGATGAAGTTAATAGTTTAAAATAAAAAGTCTATGAAAATATTACATTATGATGTTATGGCTAAAAGAAAGAAAACTGGTATGGAATTGAATTTCAGTGAATGAAAAGGCTGTGATAAATTGTTTCCATGGTTGTTACTTATTTGCAAAAGTATAAAGGTTTAAACGCCAATACACAATGGCAGGAAATACTACAACTGACTTTTAAAACTAAAAAAGCATTGTAAAGATACTTGAATAACTTGAGTTGGTTAGAACATTGGATTTCTGTGAGCTATGATTGTAAGCTGTACTATACATCATTTGACAGAAATACTGAAAAGATAGAGAATAGGAAGAATACAACAAACTCATCCAACTTCTTAGTGGAGCATTCCAGTGTATATTTTGATGTCTTCTACACACACACACACACACACACACACACAGAGAGAGAGAGAGAGAGAGAGAGAGAGAGAGAGAGAGAGAGAGAAGACAGCATGTTTTTAATTTCAAAAATCAAAAGAAATCTAAGACTCTCCATATGCTACTTATGCACTTCCATCTAGCTAATCCTAATATTCTGATTTTGCTTTGGTAAAGAAAAACAATTATACATATAGTTCCTAGTGTGCTATACTTTGATCCCATTCTACTCACTGATACAACCAAAAGCTTAAATTTGATTCTTATGTCCTACACATATTTTTAATCAATATATATATATATATATATATATATATATCTGTATCTATCTATCTATCTATCTATCTATCTGTATGTATGTATTTGGTACAGGGTCTTGCTGTGCAGTTTGGACTCAACAGTGATCCTCCTATCTCAGCCTCCCCAGCACTGGGATTGTAGGCATGTGCCACCATGCCCAGTTTCAGGTGCGGGGCTGGCATGGCATGTAGTACTGGAGATCCTTGCACTTGCCAGGCAGGTGCTTAGACTGCCAAGATATCTCCCTAGCCCACTATACATATTTTTAAACTTACTAAAATTCAAGTATTTAGTACTTTTTTTCTTTCTTTTTGGTACCAGGAATCAAATTCAAGATCTTCCACTTGCCAGGCAGGCACTGATCAATAGAACTATATACTTAGTCCTTAGTATTTAAAACAATATACTGTATATCATTGCTATCAAGCTTCATATAGATGGCACTATACATCCATTTTTATATAAATGTTATACTATTGTATATAATGTTCCTATAAGTTTTGTTTTTGCTGAAGACAGTCATCTAGTGGTATATACAACTCTCATTTTAAGGGCTATATAGTTTATCAAAAGACTATTTTGTTACTAAAAACAGACAAGATGTTCTTAAGCATGTCTGACCTCAAATAGATCATTTCAAATCAACTATTCAACTTTACTAGGATATTCCCAAATACTCCAATAAACAGAATGTGAAATGCTCCCCTTTTCATATTATTTTCTTCACTTGAAAGTACATTTAAGAAAAACAGCTGTGATTTACATTAAAATTTTAAAAATTTTAAATCAATTCCTTCTGTTTTTATCAAATATGTCTAACACAGGTATGTGATTTCAAACAAATAGAGCAGACTAAAATATGGTCCAAGGCACTTGCACAAAAATATACTTTTGCTAACAGATTACGCCTCATAGAACTGAGGAAATACCAATACTTCTTGTTTCTGGGTAGTGGGAATCAAAGACAGCTTTGAATGAGCTGAGGTTGGCCCTGAACCACTGAGCTATATCCCCAGCCACCAACACTTAATTATAACTGTTGTTAGAGAAATGGTAAGATTCCCAATTAGACACTGAGTTTAGATAGATCCAAGAATACCAAAAGACGAGAGAGAAAAGCCAGACACACATGTGAAATATCGTATAGTTTCCCTAGTATAAGAACTCAAACGAAGAAATACAAATAGAAATGTATAATACAACTAAAAGGAAAGCAAGAACTTGAGGACTAAATAATTAAGAGAGGGAAAGGAGAAGAGCTAGGAAACATGACAGTGGCAAGCCATACAGTTATATGTAGAAGATGGGCAAGGAAATGATCCTGAGAATCTTCAGAAGGTTTTTGAATCTAGCAGTTAATTGGAATGATTCTCACCTTAACTATATATACTGACACCTGTGAACTAAGCAATTAGTTCACACCTGTGAAGATGGCAATTTGTAATAGTAGGTTCATGCTTGGAATGCCTGTCATTCTGGTCTTCTGAATATGGGCTGCTTGTCATGACATGCCAGTTGCTGCCGTGCTCTCTCAGGTAGATGACTGTTCAAAAAGAAGGGGATGGTGAATGAAGGCAGGAGACAGGAAAAGGAATGCTGCGGGACTGTCCTGCTACAAGGTTGTATATGGTTAGATTTCT